GTACTGCCCCTGGGGCTTGGGGCCGCCTTCCACAAGTTCCTTGGGTCCTGCCCCTGCTTGGCTGTTTACTGCTTGGTTTTCGGCCGCTCTTTGTGTGCTCGGGTGTTCTGTCTCCCTTGTTCGCCTTAGAGTAAGGGGCAGTTTTTTGCACTGGTGGGGCGCAGGGTACTGTGCAGCTTGTCTTTACCAATCATATCGGCCGGCTCTGTTCCGCTTGAGTACGCTGTCCTCTTGCGGGGTTTTCTTTTTGTTTATCTACCTGGTGGGGGGTCTGCCTTCGTTCTTGCCCCTTGTGTTCTGAGTTTTTTCCGGTGGTACCCCCTGCTAGGTCCCCGTGAGTGTACACGTCCCGGGGGTTCAGCTCTTAGAAAGTTGTTTGGTAGCTTTGGGTGCCGGTTAGCAGTACCCTGCCTGGGATTACCTGAGCGCGAGTCCTGTTATAGTAAACCCTCGGGACCCTGGGAAACCCCTGGGGGTGCGCGGGTTCGATGGGTGTGACCCCAGAGTCCCCCCCTCGCTTCCAGCGAGTTTGAGGGTTGCTCTCGCCTTTGTCTCTGGGTGACTCTCTGTTTTGCCTCCATCTGCTGCCTGTTGGGTCGGTGACACCTTCGACCCGGAGTCCTGCGAGTTTGGTTGCTCGTTGTGGCTCGGTTACCCAGTTGTGCTGACAAAGCGGGTGCGGGCAGCAGGGGCGTTGCACTTGAGCCTTGGTGGTGGCAACGTTCTCGTGGTTTCCTCCCTGGGAGCCCCGGGGCTGCCCCGTTGTAGTTCGTTTTGGGACTTGGGGGTGTTGGTTGCTTCGGTTCCATCCACGCCCCCTTGTCTTTCCCCTGGTTCACCCTTCCTGCCTGCATCCGGTTCCTTACCGTCTGTAGGTTCGGGGCGGGGTTTTTGATGGTGTTGAGACTCGGGCAGTCTCGGGGAATTCCCCTTCCGGGGTAGTGACGGGGGCATTTGAGCTTGTTCCTCCAGCCGAGTTGTATGAGTCTGCCAGTGGGCTCCCTTCCTTAGTGTTTTCACGGCTGCCCCGGTTTTCTGGTACGGCCGGGGCTCTGGGGCCTGTCGGCTCGGCTCGGCTCGGCTCGGCCCCGGGGCCTGTTGTGTAGGTTCCTGGGGCTGGGGAGGGGCTGACTTGGGGGGCCTTGGCCCCGTTGGATCCCGTGGGGGTTTTTATCCCCCTCTAGGCGGGGCTTGTGCTTATGCGGAGTGGGGTCTTTCCTCCCCACTCGCCGTACGTGCTGTTGGGCGTCTGCCCCTCCCCGGGCTCGGTTCCTTGGCCTTTGAGTCAGTTGGTTCCGTCCTGTGGGTGGATGTTTCCTCCCACCCTTTTTTGGGACGGTGTTTTCGTCATGTTTCCCCGTTCGATGGGGTTCTACGTGACTTCTGATCTTGGGTGGGCTTGCGCCTTTGTGTGCCTTCTGGACTAGTGTTGGCTTGTGTGTTCTCGAGGGTTCGGGAAGGTTTTTCGCTACTTCCTGCATTATTGGAACGTCTGTCGGCTCCTCGTCCTTGTTGCCGTTTTGGGCTACTTGTGGCCCGGTTGGGCTACTTGTGAGCCAGTTGGGCTACTTGTAGCTCTGTTGAGCTACTTGTCGCCCTGTTGGGCTACTTGTCACCCGGTTGGGTTCCTATTTTTGGGTCTTTGCTTCTTTGGCCGATTTTATTGTTCCTACTTCCTCTTTTGGCTACTTTTCTAGTACAGTAGTCCTGGTTGGCTCCTTCCCGCAGTGGGTTGTGCGGTTCAGCCAGCGTGTTATGCGCATGCGCCGTGGAGTTTGTTTTGGTCTGGGCGGTGTTTCAGTGCTGGTGTTTTGCACCCTTTTTGCTATGGTGCTTCGCCTCTCGTTCTTCTCCCTGGCTGCGATATGTGCCCCTTCGCTCCGGGGGTGTCCTGGTTCCCAGTTGTGGGGAGGACACCGCGGTTTTCCCTGTGTCATGGGTGTGGGCCGCCTCCTTCGCCTCTCCCTGCTCTCCTGCGGGTCTGGCAGGGTCCGGCTCTGGCGTCTTCACCTGGCGGTGCTCCCAGGTTCTTCGGGGCACGGTTGAGTCGTGTCAAGTTCGTGCCACCGTTCGCTAGGTGAGTTTCTGCGGTCTGGCGTCTTTTGGCCGGGCGCTGGATGCAGTGTTGTTTATATACCTGTATTTAGGTATTTCTGGGGGGAGCCCCATCGGCTCCCCGGAGCTGTCCCAGGCTGATATGCTAATGTCAGACTTTGGCATCAGTCATGTGTATGGAGTTCTTAGGCCTACCGGGGACCACGGCCAGAACTGGGCCCCCTCAGAGAGGCAAGGAGAGCAATGGCCTATAGAAGCCCTGTGTGGTTGGAAGCATTCTATGTCTGCCATCGACCGGAACAGGCACCCAGAAAGGTAAGCACCTCAAAACAAACCCCTATTCTGGTTAAAATTGCTACCTAATACCGAACTAGTGGATAGAACTCCCCAACCGAAAACAAGCAAATTAGTGTGACGTCACACACTGCCGCGCCGCTGTCTGCGCAGCTCCCCCCTCCCTGGGAGGGGGAAGGGGGAGCCCCAGACCCCCCACGCCGGCTACGCACATCTCAGTTCTTGAGGCTGGATGTCAAAAACGCGAAAAACCGCCGACAGCGGCGCGGTGATGTATGACGTCATACTAGTTTCCTTGTTTTCTGTTGAAGAGTTCTATCCACTAGTTCGGCTTTAGGTAGCAATTTTCACCAGAATAGGGGTTTGTTTTGGAATGCTTACCTTTCTGGATGCTTGACCCGGTCGATGGCAGACATAGAATGCTTCCTACCACACGGGGGTTTCTATAGGCCATTGCTCCCCTTGCCTCTCTGAGGGGGCCAGGTTCTGGCCGTGGTCCCCGGTAGGCCCTAGAACTCCATACACATGACTGATGCCAAAGTCTGACATTAGCATATCAGCCGGTAAAGCTCCGGGGAGCCTCCGGGTCTCACCCAGAAAATGGCGTTTCATTACATTCAACGCTGGTTTTTTCTCTTCTCCTCGGTTTGTTGTGACCCCTTCCCGAGTTGTTTTCCGAGTCTCTTTTCTTGTTGGTGTTGGCCTCCGGGGGTTGGGTCGGAGAGCTTCATGCTCTCCTCCGGTGCCTGGGTCTCAGCTCTTTTGGTTCTCCTGATAGTTTGTGCGTTTGCAACCGTCTTCTACTTTTCTGGCGAAGACTGGCTCTGCTGTTTTCCGGAGGGGTCCTTGGGTTGTTTGATGCTTGGTTGGTCTGTCTGGGGGTGCATCGTGTGTTGTTTGGTTGTGGCGCTTTGCTGTGCTTGGCATGCCACGGCTGCTGTGGACGGGGTCACGCTTTTGGTTGTTCTGGGTTTCCTTCTTCCCTGTTCCAGGGTGTGGTTCTCTCGGGTCGTTCGTGGGGTGGTTCGGTCCTGCCAGCCTGCTGTCTGTCCCCGTGCCCCAGTCGTTCGTTTGTTGGCTATGCGTTCCTTCATTGATGTTCCTGGGCCTTGTCGGGCCTGTGTGCCTTGGGTTTGCAGTTGCAGTTTTGGCTCCGCTTCGCATTGGGGTGTGTGTGATTTCTGCCTCCCGGGTTCGGTCCCCTCTTGTTTTTGTCTTTGGGTAGGTAGCTCCGGGGAGCCGACGGGGCTCCCACCCCCCCCCCCCCCCCCCAGGAACCAGCATCGAATGTAATGAAATGCCATTTTCTGAGTGAGACCCAGAGGCTCTCCGGCACCCCTTCCTCCCCTCAGTTTGCATTTTTTTCGTGTGTTTTGATGTCCAGCCTCAGAACTGAGAGGTGGATTGCTGGTGCGGGGGTCTGGGGCTCCCCCTTCTCCCTCCCAGGGAGGGGGGAGCTGCACAGACAGCGGCGCAGCAACATGTGACGTCATATTCGTTTGTTCGTTCTTGTTTGGGGAGTTCTATTCCCTTGTTCGGTTTTTTGTAGCAATTTTCACCAGAATAGGGGTTTGTTTTGGGACTCTTACCTTTCTGGGTGCCTGACCCGGTCAATAGCAGACATAGAATGCTTCCAACCACACGAGGGGAAAGGGGGGGTTCTATAGGCCATTGCTCCTCATGCCTCTCTGAGGGGGCCAGGTTCTGGTTCATGGTCCCCGGTAGGCCCTCAGAACTACACAGGACTGATGCCAAAGTCTGACATATCATATCAGCCCAGATAGCTTCAGGGAGCCTCCGGGTCTCACCCAGAAAATGACGTTTCATTACATTCAACCCTGATTTTTTATATAGAGTACTTTACTAATTTTTTATTTTAGAAATTGTATTATTGAGTGTGTAATGCATTATTGATTATATAGTTATCAGATTTATTATTGCATGAAGTTCTTTGTGTAACTTTTTAATGTTGACTTTGTTTACCTCTGCATTTTTCACCAGTGTCACGTGACAACTCCAAAGGTGTAAAAAAAAAAAAAAAATTATTTTTTCAAATATTGTTAAAATGCATTTCCTGAGCACAGAACATTTAAAAAAAACATTTTTTACCACGTTTTTTTACTTTTTTTTTTTTTTTTTTGACCATGTCGTAGCTCAGTTGATTAAGGCAGCGTCTGGGATGCTCTCGGACGTAGGTTCGAGTCCGCGTCAAGGCCCTTGTGGATTTGTTCATTTGATGCATCACACTATTGTGATTTCTGTGTGCTCTAAGCTATGTTTCAACATTTGTTCAGGTGACCTGCCTAAACTGTTAAGAACAACACAGTGGAGTCTCTCTGGATTTGGCACTGTAATTAGGAGCCGTTTACTTTTCACATGCACATACACTTCACTCTCAAACACAGTGAACCCCAACTTAACACTTTATTCTCTCCCACACTTGCAAATGTCTTTAATTGCTTTTATGTCTTAGTACTTGAGCAATTGGACAGATTGCCATATAGTTGATGACTTGACTAATGTAAAGTATACAATGACACCTGGCAATTGAAAAATCAAAATGATTATTTGCGATAAAGGCAATGTCAGGGAGTAAGTGTCAATTTATGTGAAAAGTATACAAAATTATTTAAAAAAATTACATCTTTCAGATGCTGCACAATATTCTACAGCTTTGGATCGTTTGACAGAATCATCTGTGCCAACTTTGTCTAAAATGGTAGGTCGAGTACGACCTGGTTCAAAAGGTGGGAAACGGCCGTCTGTTTCCCAGGCTGGAGAAATGGGTCCCATATCAGTAGATATTCTAGTTCCAATTCTCAACTACTTGTTTCCTGATGCTGAAGGAGAAAAGCAGCTTGCTCCTTTTCCTACTATTTTGAGTCAAGTTCCAGAGTGGACTGTTGATGGTCAGATTGGTGAACATCCATTGAAGGTAAGATCAAATTGTAGTTATTTTAATTTAGTTATTTATGAAGGATAATAATCACTTGTCAAAAAAAACCTGTTGAAAATTATCATTTATAGAGTGCAATCAGTTTTCAATTAAATCAGACTGAAATGTAATCATAAACTGAAGAAATTAAATGCTTTACACTTGCCCCCCCAAAAAATAAAGTAAAAGCTGTATATTTATGAAGTTATAACTACAAATAAGTGACGTTTGAGGAAAATGATTTCATAATATTGTAAAATACCCAAATCAGGAAAATTAACTGAAAACCATTTTATCATTATATGGTACCTTGTTTTTCTAGTAAGCTCTTCTGGCAACCCTATACCACATTAACATTATTTGGCTGTCCTGTACTCTTCGTGTCATTAATTAATTTTGTCGCGGGAGGGGGTTTGAGGAAGCCTTTATATATATATATTATATAAATACAGTATATATATATGTCGCGTAGCCAGAGCACTTCTCAGCCAACTATTCAAGGCGTGATTGCCAGGAAGTTTTTCGACTACCTAACCTACCTAACCTAACCTATTTTTCGGCCACCTAACCTATAACCTATAAAGATAGGTTAGGTTATTAGGTATTATTTTAACTAATAACAAAAAATTGACCTCATACGTAATGAAATGGGTATTTTATCATTTCATATTATAGAAAATATATTAATTCAGGAAAACTTGGCTTATTAGGCAAATCGGGCCTTGCATAGTAGGCTGAGAAGTGCATTCTGGCTACTAGGTACGACATATATATATATATATATATATATATATATATATATATATATATATATATATATATATATATATATATATATATATATATATATATATATATATATTATATGTCGTACCTAGTAGCCAGAACGCACTTCCCAGCCTACTATGCAAGCCCGATTTGCCCAGTTAAGTTTTCCTGAATTAATATATTTTCTCTAATTTTTTTCTTGTGAAATGATAAAGCTACCCATTTCATTATGTATGAGGTCAATATTTTTTTATTGGAGTTAAAATTAACGCAGATATATGACCGAACCTAACCAACCCTACCTAACCTAACATAACCTATCTTTATAGGTTAGGTTAGGTTAGGTAGCCGAAAAAGTTAGGTTAGGTTAGGTTAGGTAGGTTAGGTAGTCGAAAAAAATTAATTCATGAAAACTCAGCTTATTAGGCAAATTGGGCCTTGCATAGTAGGCTGAGAAGTGCGTTCTGGCTACTAGGTACGACATATATATATATATATATATATATATATATATATATATATATATATATATATATATATATATATATATATATATATATATATTATTATATATACTGTATATATATATATATATATATATATATATATATATATATATATATATATATATATATATATATATATAAAAGTTTGTGAGGGTACCACCTCTGGTGCCAATGTGGGGACCCATAGCCTCGGAGAAGAAAATAAAAAGTATTCAGAGGAGACCTTGTGGTTTCTCACTGAACACTAATATTATCTTCTCCTACCACCCCCATTCTTTTGTATGTACACATATATATTTACTTTATTTGAACTTTGTTACAAAAAAGGAGTTACATATGGGTTACAAAGATGGTTATCATAGGTTGTCGAGTTCCTCCAGCTCCTCAGATGGCGGACAGGAACCCTGGATGCAGTGCGCATTTCCCCTCTGTATCGCCACACTGAGGCGCTGGAAAAGAAAGCTTGCAGCTCTTGGGTCCCTTGTTGTTTCAATGAGCCTAGAACCCAGTTCCTTCAAAAAAACTGGTAGCACTTTTACCCCAGGCGCCGAGTGTCTCAGAAGCAATGGGGACAAAATTGTAGTGGTGATCCAGTTCACTATACTTACGGGATTTGGCTGCTTCCCTGTGGGTGGCAGCGCCACCTGGTTGTGCAACACTGAGGTTAATGTAGGTGTTAGCCTACCTCGTTAGGGGGCCTCGTAGCCTGGTGGATAGCGCGCAGGGCTCGTAATTCTGTAGCGCGGGTTCGATTCCCGCACGAGGCAGAAACAAATGGGCAAAGTTTCTTTCACCCTGAATGCCCCTGTTACCTAGCAGTAAATAGGTACCTGGGAGTTAGTCAGCTGTCACGGGCTGCTTCCTGGGGGTGGAGGCCTGGTCGAGGACCGGGCCGCGGGGACACTAAAGCCCCGAAATCATCTCAAGATAACCTCAAGATAGCCAGGGTTGATACGCACGTGTAGTCCCATACCAACTGCTTGCCATTCTTCCAGGGGTTCACTGTGATACCATCCGGGCTACCAATAAGAGCATCAGAGTTACGGGGCGTTAGGTAACGGGGCTCTCTTTCAGCTGGGCATCCAGCTGTGGTGAGGCTCCTCTTGATGATGTCATTAACTTCATTGTGCCTCGAGTGCCATCCCCCTGTGCTTTGGCAGAGTAGGCCATGGTGGCCGTACCTGTCAGCCCCACCTCGCCGCAAATACACCTATATCTGGTGTGGATTGGGGCAGCAAGGCGGAGGGCCACAGCAATTCGGAGGGCGTGTGGTGTGAGACGCGTGCCAGTTGCCGACATTGGGGTTGCTAACAAGAAATCCCCTGCATGTGGTGCTGCTACTGCTGTGAGGCGAGCAATGTCGTGGTGTGTTGTTGCAGCACCCAGGCACTCTGCAGCAACTTGGTCTACAATGGGGCCATCCCAGCTGGATTGCTTGTGGGCTTTTGGGGATGGTGGTCGAGGTGATTGGCCTGCACGAGAGGCCCACTCTGTGGCACAGCGTGTAAAATTGGGATCATGTACACCTGCCAGCTGATGTAAGTGGGCAGGTAGAATTTCCTTCACAAGGTCGTCGGATGCTGATAAGGAGGACAGGAAGGCTGGAACAGCGATTTGCGTTGCTGTTCGAACTCCGAGGCCCCCCAAGTCTTACGGGAAGAGAGGCTTGTTTCCACTGTAGGTCATCTAGAGAGAGGTTAAGGGCTTTTTCTAGCATTGATTTCAGTAAGCGGTCATAGTCAGCTGGTTTTTGGCTACTGTGGGAGGGTGAACACCTCAGAAAGAAGGTAGGGAGGGACAAACATCTGGTGATGAGGTAGAGTGCATCATGAGCATCAATGTCCTCAATCCTCCCATCCATCCTCTTAAGGATTTTCTTATCAAGGACCTCATCGATGGCTTTCAATCCCAGGGGGGCTCCTAGAAGTGTGCTGTCTCAGGTTTAGTTTTATGGATATATGGCAGAAGACCCTCTATTCTCTCTACGATGCCCTGGTTGGAATATATTATTTCACATTTACAAGGGTTCAGGGGTGAGGCCTAAAACTGCACCTTGCTCCTGGATTTTTCTGATGTCCTCCAGGAGGGAGTCTTGGGAGCCAGCTAGGGTACCATCATCCAAGAACCAGATGTTAAGCTCGCTGGACAGGACCTCTGTGACTTGTTTGATGACTAAGCAGAAAAGGAGAGGAGCAAGGGGGTCACCCTGTTGGACGCCTTCTCGCGAGTCAATTTCATGTTCGCCAAAAAAGTAGATTTAGATCCATACTGTAGCATGAATGTACAAAAGGGTAGAGGGAAGGGAAATGACTATGAACCGCATGGAGTACAGCATCCCTCCGCACCAAATTGAAGGCATTTTTTAAATCTAGCTTGATAAGGGCCTTTTCGTCTGTGATGTTGGCGATGAAGGCTCGAGTTGCATGGGCTGCCGCCTCACACCCTTGTGGAATGCCAAACCCGAGCTGTTTTGGCTTCAGCATGTTGGCCGCTGCATCACTAACTGTTCTTGCAGCTGCCTTTGTGACGAGACGCCGGAGAGAATTACCCACAGCTATTGGCCTGATCCCTCCATCCTTTTTCTTTAGAGCACAGAGAGATGCTCCAAAAAAGATAAGGTCTTATGGTCGCTGGTATGTTGCCAGTTAGACATGTGTTGGTGAATCTGATTAGTTCCACCAAGAGGTTCTTTGCAATGTCACCCAGTGCAGGGTTGAGCATTTGCTTGAGGTGGTTGGGTTTTAGTCCTGTGAACCCACCTGCTGATCCTGTAGGGAAGGACATGGCTGCTTTATGGACCACAGATTCAGCCACCCAGAGAGGTTCTGTTCCGGTAGCCCCCACTTGTACAATGTCGTCCTCACGCGGAGCCCTGGGTGGGTGTTTCTCCCTTAGGGCTTGAGCTGTTGCGGCATCTCTGTCGGCAATTGAGTCCTCACTGGTGATGACTCGTATTGCGCCAATAGTGTTTCCTTCTTCTATTTTCTTGGTGACTGATGTTCTGATTTTTTATGTCTCGGATACGTCAATGTTGCTCTTTCTGCCGTGGGTGTTTCTCGCGCGAGTGGGAAGGCGCACCTGGTTGTCCTCCCTGGGAAAATCATTTATAGCTTTGATGACTGAGGCAGCTAAGCTCTCCTTGCAGGGGTGGCTAGACATATGTTGCCAAACAGTAGGAGGTTGTACCATGCTTGGATCGTTCCAGGAGAGTCGTTGACCTTTCTCAGGAGGGCAGATAATTTGGCTGCTGCATGGGGGCGGGCTGCTTTAGGGATGTGTTGCAAGGTTCTGGCTGATGTTGCTTTGATAGCTTCTAATAAGTTTTCTGTGGGAATGAAGGTCTGGGAGATGTTTTGCCTTACGGGCAGTGTGGGCTGTTGATTGGTGTTCTCCCTGTGAGGGCGCTCAGAACCCAAACACCTGACTCCGTTGTTGGAATGAATGCGCACATTATCGTCCCTCAACCGGATATAGCATACCCTGTCACACGTCTGACATCTACCGTGTCTATCCCTGCTTGATGGCTCATCTTGGCTTGGAGAAGCCTGGCTATCTGTCGAGAGCTGCGACATGGGCGGGCGCTGGGCGGGAGGGTGGACGGCGGTGGAGACTGGAGGGTGGGCGGCGGTTGGAGGCTGGGGGGATGATCAGCTGGCCGTGGCACCTACTACTCAGATGAGTGGTAATACATATACCACCTCTATACAAAGTGTGGGTATACACCCACTACACAATATGTGGGTATACATTGGGTGGGTGGGTGGCGTAGACACACATGGGAGCCTCCCGGCTTCTATGGGCGGGTGGCAGGGTGGCCTCGTGGGTGGGGAGGCGACGTGGTGGGGTGGGTAGGAGGGGGAAGAGCAGGTACTTCCCGGCCTGGGCGCTGGGTGGGGGCGGGGGTCAGGGCGACACTACACTGGTATAATTATCCCGTATATCACTGCACAATAATGAATGAATCACACACTTGTAATCTGACTCACTGCACGTGTGATGTACTAACCATATGATAGATATGTTGCGCCAATTATCGCTGACACGTAACTTGTTCAACAAAACTTTCAAAAAAAGAAAAACACAAAACACTATTTGGCACACGCGTAACCCCCACCTCTCTCTCCTGACCACACAACACCCCTCACTCACACCCCCCACCTCCCCTCACTATGGGAGGCCTGCAGGGTCCATCCTGGCCCTCTCACCAGCCTCCATGACTCCACACTGCCAACCCACCTGTTTTGATAAGTTTTGATAAGTTTTCACATAGATGGTACACCGTAGGCACTTCCGGCCACTCCCACGTCTGCTTGGTGTATTCACGGTGAATATGGTTGAGTCTTGGTACGGTGAGGCCAAGATGTCTCAGGTAATGGCTGAGAAGGCAGTAGCTCCTCCGCCACACGTCCGTCCCCTAGGCCTCTCCCTCTATATATATATATGTCGTACCTATTGGCCAGAATGCACTTCTCGGCCTACTATGCAAGGCCCGATTTGCCTAATAAGCCAAGTTTTCCTGAATTAATATATTTTCTCTAATTTTTTTTTCATGAAATGATAAAGCTACCCATTCATTATGTATGAGGTCAATTTTTTTTTATTGGAGTTAAAATTAACGTAGATATATGACCGAATCTAACCAACCCTACCTAACCTAACCTATCTTTGTAGGTTAGGTTAGGTTAGGTAGCCGAAAAAGTTAGGTTAGGTAAGTTAGGTAGTCAAAAAACAATTCTTGAAAACTTGGCCTATTAGGCAAATTGGGCCTTGCATAGTAGGCTGAGAAGTGCGTTTTGGCTACTAGGTACGATATATATATATATATATATATATATGTCGTACCTAGTAGCCAGAACGCACTTCTCAGCCTACTATGCATGGCCCGATTTGCCTAATAAGCCAAGTTTTCATGAAATAATTGTTTTTCGACTACCTAACCTACCTAACCTAACCTAACCTAACTTTTTCGGCTACCTAACCGAACCTAACCTATAGAGGTAGGTTAGGTTAGGTTAGGTAGGGTTGGTTAGGTTCGGTCATATATCTACGTTAATTTTAACTCCAATAAAAAAAAATTGACCTCATACATAATGAAATGGGTAGCTTTCTCATTTCATAAGAAAAAAATTAGAGAAAATATATTAATTCAGGAAAACTTGGCTTATTAGGCAAATCGGGCCTTGCATAGTAGGCCGAGAAGTGCATTCTGGCTACTAGGTACGACATATATATATATATATATATATATATATATATATATATATATATATATATATATATATATATATATATATATATATGTCGTACCTAGTAGCCAGAACTCACTTCTCAGCCTACTATTCAAGGCCCGATTTGCCTAATAAGCCAAGTTTTCATGAATTAATATATTTACTATAATTTTTTTTCTTATGAAATGATAAAGCAACCCTTTTCTCTATGTATGAGGTCAATTTTTATTTATTGGAGTTAAAATTAACGAAGATATATGACCGAACCTAACCAACCCTACCTAACCTAACCTAACATATATTTATAGGTAAGGTTAGGTTAGGTAGCCAAAAAAAGCTAGGTTAGGTTAGGTTAGGTAGGTTAGGTAGACGAAAAAACATTAATTCAGGAAAACTTGGCTTATTAGGCAAATCGGGCCTTGAATAGTAGGCTGAGAAGTGCGTTCTGGCTATTAGGTACGACATATATATATATATATATATATATATATATATATATATATATATATGTCGTACCTAGTAGCCAGAACTCACTTCTCAGCCTACTATTCAAGGCCCGATTTGCCTAATAAGCCAAGTTTTCCTGAATTAATATATTTACTATAATTTTTTTTCTTATGAAATGATAAAGCAACCCTTTTCTCTATGTATGAGGTCAATTTTTTTTTATTGGAGTTAAAATTAACGTAGATATATGACTGAACCTAACCAACCCTACCTAACCTAACCTAACCTATATTTATAGGTAAGGTTAGGTTAGGTAGCCAAAAAAAGCTAGGTTAGGTTAGGTTAGGTAGGTTAGGTAGACGAAAAAACATTAATTCATGAAAACTTGGCTTATTAGGCAAATCGGGCCTTGAATAGTAGGCTGAGAAGTGCGTTCTGGCTATTAGGTACGACATATATATATATATATATATATATATATATATATATATATATATATATATATATATATATATATATATATATATATATATATATATATATATATATATAATATATAATATATATATATAATATATAATATATAATATAATATATAATATATAATATAATATAATATAATATAATATAATATATAATATATACATACATCGGCTTACGAATGCCCCTCTTTACAAACTTTTTGAGTTACGAGCCCAATTTCTTCATAAAATACGAATCGGTTTAGGAAATGAAGTTTGTTGATACACGTATGGCCGACCTAGCGTGTGGTGGTACGACAACCATGCCTCAGTTTACTAGTGCCTCCTGCCTAGTGACAATCTCGCCTGAATTCTTTGTAAAGAATTTGTGTTTTTTCGGATTTTTGGTTATTTGAACATAAAAGTTATTATTATATATCTTGCCATGGGTCCCAAGAAAGCCAGTGATAAGGTTCAAGCCAAGAAAACACATGTGAGAATGACTATAGATGGTAAACAAGAGATCATTCATAAACATGAAAATTGTAGATGGGTTGAACTAGCTAGGCAGTACAACAAATTTGTCAACGGTATGCATTGTAATTGCTAAGAAAAAGGACATTATGAGTGCTAAAGTGGCGAAAGGCATATCAACAGTCACGAAACAAAGAACACAAACACTTGAGGAAGTTGAAAAGTTATTAATTCACCCAGAGTAAGCTGTAGTAGGCTGTTGTTAACCTTTTTAATGACTGTGTGATGTCTCACTTCAGACAAGTGTTCAAGTGTTACAATGTAGGGAAAAAAAAACAAGTGTCACTAGACAGGTTTTTAGTGAGAAATAGAGCAGTGAGCCACAAGCAGGTCCTCGTGGTATGCAGGCAAAACGTGCCAGTGTGTGTACTGTACCTCCAGAGAAGTCATCACTGCCTGATGTTATAATGGAAGGGGGACTCGCCTTCCAAACACTAACACCTCTCCTCCTTTCCCCCTCCTCACCATCTTCCATACGCCAACAAGTCATCAATAAAGGTAAGGAATAACTTGTACATACTTTAGTACTAAAGATTTGGGTGAATTAGGTGTAAAATTTAGCTTGAAGTTAATTTTTTGAGTGTGTGGAACGGATTAATTCAGTTTACATTATTTCTTATGGGAAAATTCGCTTCCGTTTACAAATTTTTGGCTTATGAACCGTCACTGGGAATGGATTAAATTCATAAACTGAGGTACCACTGAATATATATAAAATTTAGGCTTGTATCAAGTTTTCCCCCCAAGATTGAACTGCTGACCCTTCCTAGGATGCAGCCTAACTCCTGGGTACCTACTGTTCAGTGCATTAGGTGAAAGGAAATGTGCAAAAATGTGCACCTGGCAATCAAACACAGGATTCCAGGGTGAGAATCAAGAATGAGAGTAATACTGTAGTAATGTACTTAAATTAAAAGTTTTATAAAGTAGGTTGTATAATTTTCTTATCAGCCTACCACTAGTTAATCTTTTCAGATGTCCAAACCAATATGTATTTCTCTTGACCCCACTCTGCTGCCTCTCGCCTTCGAGCCAACTCTACTGTCTATATTCCATACACTTCTGCCATTCCACGCTCATGCTATTTTTACAGAGACTGACACTGGGTGGCCTATATGTAATGTCACCTGGTCCATCCCTCAAATGATTACTCTTGTAACATTTGTGCCTTTGATTATTCTTCCTTAAGAATCCAGAATCAGATTATATATTTAAAGTTAAAAAAAAATCTTCAATACTCCAATCTGAACTGAATTAGTTCACAGCCATTAGTTTATAATGAGACAATTAAAAACTTGCCTAATCTGAAAAATCCAAGATAGGAGTGAGAAGATGTGAAATAAGTTTTTAGTGTTGAGACTTCCTTACAATGTTTATACAACAAATAAGCAGTAGAAAATAAACATCAGACAATTCTGAAGCATGTCCACTGTTGGTTTTAGCACTTGATAGCTATTGCTGTGTTTATCTCGATATTAAAATTTATTTTTCTTTCAGTACCTAACCATTTAAAGTTTCACATTTTGTTTATTAGTTTGGATACGGTCACAGTTATCACTATTCATTAACTTATAAACAGAACTAGTAATCTTTGTGTTTTGTATGTAGAGCCCAGGGTAATATGTGGAATTAGGTACATAAGCACTCTTTTTATATGTTAAAGCTAGATAGTTATATCTGTGAAATAATCATACTGCAATGAGCTCAAATCTTCTCTGGATTATATACTGCACTGTGTTTTCTCATGCAAGATCTATCTAATTAAAACTCGCTAACTGCAACTTAAATATCCAGAAATATGATGAATTATTTTTCTTTAGACATATCTTCAGTAATAAAAGTAAAGATAAGGACAATTATATTTTAATATTAAGAGTATCAAAGTTTAGATATTTGTCTTAAAAACATAATAATTTGTTTCAGAGTTTACTAAGTAATATGAAGAGTAGTGGTGTTGATGGTTTAATATGGCGTTTGGCTGTTGTGTTGAGTCATGTGATCCACTCTCTTGGTGGATTGCCAGCTGCAGCTCATCTCTGGCATGAAGTGGTTTTGGAACTACGATTTCGCTGGGACAATGCAATTTTAGTCCCAGGTATTGGCAGTGGGTCACCTGATCTTGCATCAACATTACTTCACCAAAAGCTTCAAATGCTAAACTGTTGTATAGTTCGAAGAAGGGCAAGGGAGAAGTCCATGTCTAAATCTAGTAAGTGATTATCTGCGATTTATTCAATTTTAAAATTTATTATTGACTTTTGTGTTGGGCTTAACCCCTGGGCTGTTCTTGTGATTAGAGGGTGACATATTTTGGCTGCAATAGGGCGAGGAAGTCTGGCAAAACTGAGGCGTTGACAGAGCAATCGTTGGAAGATGAGGATTCGAACCTGCATCCGAGAGTATCCCAGACGCTGCCTTAATCGACTGAGCTACGACATGGTCAAAAGGAGTTGAAACCGAAGTTCTACTGAACTCACTGGATCCTGCAGCCTCTCCGAGGCACAAACCAGGGTTTTACACAACTCCCCCATGCACTCAAGCTATGTCAATAGCTATGTTCTTCCTCTTCGCCCTTACTTCATTACACACAGAAATCACAATTGCGTGATGCATCAAATGAACAAATCCACAAGGGCCATGACGAGGATTCGAACCTGCGTCCGAGAACATCCCAGACGCTGCCTTAATCGACTGAGCTGTGTGTAATGAAGTAAGGGCGAAGAGGGAGAATGGCATATTGACATAGCTCGAGTGCATGGGGGGGAGTTGTGTAAAACCCTGGTTTGTGCCTCGGAGAGGCTGCGGATCCAGAAAGTTCAGTAGAACTTTGGTTTCAACTCCTTTTGACAATGTCGTAGCTCAGTCGATTAAGGCAGCGTCTGGGATGCTCTCGGACGCAGGTTCGAATCCTCGTCACGGCCCTTGTGGATTTGTGCACTATATTTTCACGTTATATATAAGTATCTACATTTGTGCTCACCATAGGGAACCACTAAGATGATAAAGCGATTCTTGACAATAACAGGTGGCCACACAGAGTCAGCAGATGGAGCTACCTCCCTCCCTCCCTCTCTCCTTCCCTCAGCATTACTGTTCCTACCATACTATGTACAGCTCTAATTATCATAATCCTGCTATTATCAGAATCTTGGTCATTTTTATCAGTCAGCGGTCTTCTATAATACTATCATCGCTAAATAATACGAGTTACATACGTATTTTTATATTTTTTAGGCAATGCTGTGGTAACAAGCTGAACAGCAGGGCTGTTAGCTCATGCTGCATGCACCAGCCTCGGTTGCTCACTCAGTACTGATGCTCTCACCCGGAATGTTGCCCACGATTTTTTTTTTAAATGGCGTCTGTTTACAATAGCCTTGAGGAAGCTGATGTGAACCTTGTGTAGCCACGGAACTTTTAAATCTTGTGCGGTACTCCAACACATCAATAGCTGTGGTGTTCAATTCTGTGACAGTTACTCACCACAGCTATTGATGTGTTGCACAGTTTAAGGGTTAAGGGAGTGTTTGTAGTATTATGGTGTAGATATCTGTTAAAGCTTGTAGATTGCTTCACCTTGATGACCAAACCACATATCAGAAGATGAAACGACAATGTTTCAGTTAGACCTGGACCATTATCAAGTCTTGTGATAGAAGAGAGGATAGAAGACTATGCTTCAGGCATAGTATGTACTAGCTCTATCTAGAAATCCAACATTATGTTTGTAATTCATTTTCAATGTATGTACCTTTACCTGAATAAACATCTTATATAAGTATGTACTGTACTGTGAAGAGGAAGAGTATGTTGACTGTGTCGGCTGCTTTGTGGAAGTTGTTTGCGCCAATTCTGAAGGAAACGGTGTACTTTATCTGTTCTTTGCTTCCCGTCTCATGTGCCGGCAGGAGGTGCTCATTTACACTTTGGATTCCGTTTGGGCCCCAGGTTATCTTGAGATGATTTCGGGGCTTTTTAGTGTCCCCGCGGCCCGGTCCTCGACCAGGCCTCCACCCCCAGGAAGCAGTCCGTGACAGCTGACTAACACCCAGGTACCTATTTTACTGCTAGGTAACAGGGGCATAGGGTGAAAGAAACTCTGCTCATTGTTTCTCGCCGGTGCCTGGGATCGAACCCGGGACCACAGGATCACAAATCCAGCGTGCTGTCCACTCGGCCGACCGGCTCCCAGGCTCTTAGATTTTCGTCCCCTTTTGTTCGTTGTTGTTTGCAGAGTCTGCCATGGTGCATTTTCTGCAGGCGGCTTCGTCTACTTGCCAGCCTATGTCGGACTTGTTGGTTCTCTGGGGAAACCGTGGTGGTACTGCCTGGAAGGGTCGTTCATGGGCTTGTGGTTCCTTCGGTTGTCGTAAGCCAGTAGTGCCAGGTTCAAGGCTGGCCTCTCCTGCTCAGCCATTGGCATCGAGTCGGCGCATTGGTCGCTCTGAGCCTAGGTCGGGCTCTCGTTAGGTTCATCGACCCTTTTGCAGTTCGACCCGTTGATGGGGGGAAGGCTTGCGCTGTTTGCTCTCACCTGGTCCCACGATTTGTGGGCATTTCAGGTAGTTTCCTCCAGCTTGTGGTAGTGTTGGGTGACTCCTCCTCCTTCGGGGGATCAGGGCTGCAGGCCAAGCCTCTTCCACTGCATCCTGTTGGGTCATCCTGGACTGGGTTTGCTTGGGTGTGGTCAAAATGACAGTGTCCCTCAGGTGGATTTCCAGTCTGTTTCCAATTACCAAAAGGGGCTGTGTGGACCTGTGGTTCATTCTGGATTTGTCCCGTCTGAACCCGTGGGTCTCTTACCTCTACATTTGGATGACCACTCTGTCCCAGGTCTGGCTGCTTTAGGAGTCGGGCGCTTGGTGTCCCTGGACCTCCGGGATGCGTATTGGCACGTCTCAATTAATCATCTCCATTCAATATTCATTAAGAAATGTAAAGTACCAGTAGTGCGAGCGCTCAGCATAATATAGAGAAAGAGCCTGGATACAGGGGAGATACCAGCTGCACTTAAATCAGCAGATACAGCTAAGCTGCACAAGGGGGGTAGTAAAGCCTTGGCAGAAAACTATAGACCAGTTGCACTAACATCTCTCATAATAAAAGTTTTTGAAAGAGTGATTAGGAATTGGGAAAACAACCCAATACAACATGGATTTAGAGCAGGAAGATCCTGTCTGTCAGTTACTCAACCACTATTACAAAATCACAGAAGCTCTAGAAGAAAAGCAAAATGCAGATGTTGTATACACAGACTTTGCAAAGGCATTCGACAAATGTGACCATGGAGTGATGGCACACAAAATGAGGTCAATGGGAATAACTGGTAAAGTAGGACCCTGGATACTCAATTTCCTGTCGAACAGAACACAAAGAGTAAGTCAATCAAATAAAATAGAGCCCAAGCGCAGTTAAAAGCTCACTGCTTTTCAAACTCCCACAAGTCAAGCCTCAGGCCGGGCTTGGGGAGTAGAAGAACTCTCAGAACCCCATCAAGCAGGTATCCAGGGTTTGGCGACTGGCTCGGTTTTGTTGTGGGGCAACAGGCTTGCCACTTTTGTACCTTCCATTCGGCTTCAATCTAGTACCTTGTGTGTTCACACGCCTTACCCAGGTCATGGTGATCTGTGATCTGTTAGGTGTTCGGGTTCTGGCTTACCTCGACGACTGGCTGGTGTGGGCTTCCAGCTGGTCCACGTGTTCCCTTGTCAGGGATTTGGTTTTTTCCAGCTCACCGGTTTTGGGTTCTTGGTGAACTGGAGGAAGTCCCACTTGGTTCCCTTTCAGATTCGGACTTGGCTGGATCTTGTGTACTCGCCTATTTGTGCTTGTGGGGGTTGAGCTCTGGCTCTTTGGTCCCGCCTCTCAACTGTCAATCAACTGGTATGGCACAATCAACTTGTGTGGGACTCGGGACTCTCAAACCGCTAACTTGTTTCTCCCTCTGGTGACGTTGCAGCGGCTGCAGTCCTGCCTTCGGCTGTTTTTGGAGGCACCCAGATCACTCGTCGGTTGTTCGAGCAACTTTGTGGGAGTCTGAACTTCGTCATGCTGGTCTACCTGTTGGGTCAGATCTGGTTTCGGCAGCTGTTCTGACTCCTTTGGGGGATATCCCTTCCGCCACTCTCGTGATCGCTGGGTTCGGACCCCAGAAGCCTTGTGTCGGTTCTTGCATTGCCGGCTTCTTCAGGTTTTTTTGGGGGGTTCAGTGCCATGTCATCTATCTGAGCCCTCACTCGATGTGTTCACGGATGTGGCATTTCCTGGCTGGGGCTTTGTGACCAGTGATTACCAGGGTCGGTGGGGTCCGTTTATCTATCGGGCTCACAACACGGTGCAGGAGTTCGTTGGTATATGCGTCACCCTTCTCCGACTGCGAGGCCATCAGGGTCAATACCTTTCGCCTGGACTGGTCGGGGTGGGGTTTCCTGTACCTCTACTCCCCCAACCCCTCGGTTCAGTTGTTGCTCCAGATCCTGGCTCGCTTGGAGACTTAACAGGGGAGAGTAGTCCTGTTGGCCCCTTGGTGGCTGACCCTGCCTTGGTTTCAGACGCTTGCTCGGTGTCCGAACCCAGAGGTCTTCCCACGGTTCTGCCTCTTTCAGTAGATCAGTCCGGTCTGGCACGTGGCTGGTTTGATCTTCTCCTCCGATCTTCTCGTCCGGTCTTTTTGACGCGAGTTTATCACCACTTGTGTGGTGATCAGGTGGCTTCATTGTGGATGTCACACCTGCGGGTTTCGTCTGTATGCCAATATGAAGTTTCCCGGCTTTTCTTTCGGCACATTTTGTCTCTTCATAGATTGTCTTCGATTTCTGATCGGGTTGTTTGTCCTTCCTCCCTCTTGGTTGTTTTAGTACCATCATCATATGCCGAATACTGTCACCTTGTATCGCGTGATGCTGGCGGAGCCGCTTTAGCGTACGTTCGGGGTGGATGTCACTTCTGCTCTGCTTCATAAGCTTTATATGCATTTTTCCACCTCTGGCCTGCTCGTGCACTGTCTGAGCCGACCTGGTCTTGGGACTGGGTGCTCTCCTTTCTTTCTTCACCTCAGTTTGTGGTGGTCCCTTCAGTCAGTGATTGTTTCCAGAACGCCTTGGTTTTGTTGGCTTTGTCTTCTGGGGGTTGGGTTGGGGAGCTTCATGGTTTCCTTCGGTGCAGAGGCTTCTGCTCTTTTGGTCTAGGTGGAAGTTTTGTTCATCTGCA